AGCCTTGGGACAATAACTTAAGCTTAACAACTGAATTAAGTTTCAACAGGGTTTCTCCTCACCCTTCTCCTTGCTTGGGTAAGTCGTAAGTGTAAGACAATCCGCTTTAACATGTCTTGGATTCCTGTATTAAAAATAAATCATATTAGTAGAACTTCTAAAATTTTTACTATCCTTACCTTTATTCCACTTATGTTGGTGCTTTTGCTTATTCCTTAGAAAGCTTTTGAATTGCCTCATAATTTAGGAGACGTCATCTCTTTTAGACTCGTAAGAATCAATATATATATCGTTAGCCTTTAGCGCAATAATTTTCTCCTTCTCCTTCTCACCTGCATCAAGTTGTCTTTGGTTCGCTCCTTACTCATAAGAAATGAGTGATCCAAGTAAGTTATCAATAGAATAAGTATTCAAATATTTAAATTCAGTGATAGCAGTTATCTTAGCATCAAAGGAAGAAGACAAGCATCTTAAAATCTTTATTAATTTGCTATCTTCCTAAGGCATGCAGTGAGGTGACTATTTGAGTAAAATTAGTATACATTTTAGAAATCGATTCACTAGGTTTCATGCAATAAAGTTTATAGTCATGCAGTAAGATATTCAACCTAGATTACTTAACTTCAATTATTCCTTCATAAGTAATACACAATTTATCCCAAATTTTTTTACCAGTAGCATAAGTTGAGACACACATAAAATCTTTTGATTTTAAAGTATAGAAAAGATAGTTTAAATATTTTGCATTGAGTTATGATAAATCCCTATCATCAAATGTCCATTCAGTAAAACAAAGTTCAATTTTCCATTCAGTAAAACAAAGTTTAATTTTTATGCTAATGTTTACATGAGATGGTAGTGAATATCTATCATTAACAAGCTTCTACATGCAATAGTCAATTAATTATAAAAATATGGATATGCGAGTTTTTCAAAAATTAAAGGGTATGTTATTAAACAAAGGTGGTCGGGTAATAGAATACCCTTCCACAGTATTACGATTATTAAAGTTAGCCATGGATAGAAATTCAAAAGTTTTTAAAAACTCTGATTTTATGAATTCCGCACTGATACCACTTGAAAGTTTGTTACGGATGTTAAGCCCTTATGAACTAGCCCGAGGCTAACTAAGATAGGGGGTGAATTGGTGTTTTAAAAATTTTTAAACAAAAAATACAATCACAACCAAACAATCACCATAAAAATAAAGTGCGAAAATTAAATGTGGAAAATGTAATACGAAAGAACACACCAAATTTTATAGTGGTTCGGTCAACTTGACCTACGTCTACTCCCTAAAGCCTTTCCTTCAGGAATTTCACTAAACTCAGTGTCTCTCCTTTTGCTCCTATAGCAAGGCGGAGAAGCCAGTACAAAAACGCCTTTCCATCAACCCCGGTGAGGTAGAGAACCCAACTCCTTTTGCTTTCTCCTAAAACAGACAGAGAATCTCGATCAATTGCTGAAGTAGACCTCTCTAGAACCTCCAAGGAAACATGGATGACGATCGAAGAAGATGACGTGGATCCTTGCTTAGAGCAACCTTTGTGAAACCCTCATAAACTCCCCCTCACAATATCCTCTCTCTCTCTCTCTCGCTTAAGTTCTCCCTCTTCTTTTGGCTCTCTCAGGTCAGAACAATAGCAAAAGATCCTCTCTTGAGTAAACAAGAGGTCTTATAAATAAGGGCTTCATATTTGCCCTAAATTGTAATTAATCGACAGATCGTCTTGTATGATCAGTAAAAATTTAGCTCAATTAGCCAGAATGATCTAGGAGAGTTTGGATGATTAGAAGTTTTATTTGTTCAGATTGTCCAGGATGATAGGACATCGTCCTATATAATTAGTTCAAGACGTCAAATATCGTCCACACAATTGCTCTGTTCGGCCAAACTTTACCAAGCTTGGATGATAAAAAAATAACTAATCATCCAAGATAATTTAACGATCGTCCTAGACAATTAGTTCAAGATGTTGAACATCATCCAGACCATCGCTCTATTCAGCCAGACTTTATATATATGAACAATGAAAAAATAACTGATCATCCAGGACGATATATAGATAGTCATGAATAATTAGTTCAAAATATCAAATATAGTCCAAAACATCACCCTGGTCATCCATGAAGAAACAAATGTTTGTTTAACTGATCGTCCTGGACGATCCTGTGATCGTCCAGGATGATATGATCGAGCAATCACACCTTAATTGCATTCCATATATACTAAACTAATTTAGGCATAATTAAAATGCATCGTCTAGATTTATGTCTAAAAATAAAACATGCCTAAAAGAGTTGGTGTGGCTGATTCTTCCTGATTTGAGCCTATCGTCCAGGATGATTCACTTAATTTCGACTGCCTTAACCAGGATGCTTAGGGTTTTTATTTTTAACTGATCGTCCCGGACGTTTTGGGATCGTCCCGGACGATATGATCAAAAATAGAAAACTCTAAACAGACAAAATTTTTCCCCCTGAGTGTGTGTGTGTGTGCAAGGTTACTTAGCATCTGACCCACTTTTTTACATTTGACTCAAGAAAAGAAAAAGACACTTGAAGTACACTTACAGACTGACTCAGTCCTAATCTACCCAATCTTGAGCTGGCTTGATTTATAATTTGATCTTGTGGACTTGAAACGTTAGTAGGTAAGGCAATTCTAGAAAAACAGAAGTGTCAAAAATGTTTGATATCATCAAAATTATAATTTTTGAATCCAGATTTGCAACAGGACGGTATTTCTCTTACATTTTTTAAAATTCTATTGGAAAACTATCAAAGTTTATGTATGGAATGCTGTCAATACATTTTTCAATCAAATGTCAAGCCTACCAATTGGAAAGATATGCTTGTTATTCTCATTCCCAATGCTGAAAATGCTTGTGAACCATCTAAATTTAGACAAATTAGCATTTGCCAAACTACATATAAGATTGTTGCAAAGATGATTCTAAATAGATTCAAGATTATTTTACCTAGAATAATTTCTAAAGACTAAGTGGCTTATGTCCCAAACAGATAAATTTCTTATCATTGTCTTTTAGCCCAAAAAATCTTTCATAAATTTAGATTCTCTTCCTCAAAAAGAGGCTTCTTTGCATTAAAGGTGGACATGGAGCATGCCTATGATAGCATGTGTTGGCAAACTTTAAATCAAGTTATGATTATGATGAATTTTCCAACCAAATTCATAAAATGGGTCCTGCAATGTGTTTGTTTCCTGAGATTTTCAATTTTAATTAATGGTTAGCTTTTGGGTTGGATTTTGGTTGAATATGGATTTAGACAAGGTAGTCCCTTGTCTTCGTTTCTATTTATTCTTTGTTCTGAGCTTCTTTCCAAGGCTTTTCAACAAAATGCAATTCTTAGTATTAAAATCTCGTCTAATGCTGAAAGAATTTCACATTTGCTATGTATTGATGATGTGTTGATTCTCGTTGAAGCAAAATTTTATTATTTGGATCTTATTTCAAACATTTTATCAAATTATTATTCATGGACTGGTTAAAAAGTTAATTTTTCCAAATCAAGGATCCTTTGCTCTAAGAAGATGAGCAAGAGGAAAAAAAAAATTCAAAGCAATATGGATTCAGGCTTGTGAAAGAGTTCAATTATCTTGGACTTCTATTTGTTTTGAGAAGATTATCTGTCACAGATTTCCAATGTCTGATTAAGCATTCGATGGATATGATAAACTCTTGGGGAAGTATATTTTTATTTATTGCTAGAAGACTACATTTATTAATTCTTCTCTTTTATCTCTATCTACTTATTTCATTACTCATCCCTAGTTTCGAAAAGTACTCTTGAAGGTTTAGACAAGCTTTGCAAAAGTTTTCTTTGGCATTAAGACAATGGAAAACAATGAATGCATTATATCAGTTGGAGTGAGCTTTGTCTTCCAAGTAGAAATGGTGGTCTTGATTTTCATTTGGCTTCATTATGGGAATAACCATTAAGATCAAAAATATCCTGGAATTTTATTCAGAATCCGAAATCTTTACTAAATAGAATTCTTATTAAGAAATATGGCAGCAATATTTGCTCTTCTTCTAAAAAAGGCACTTCTTAAACTTGGAAAATTTTATTAGATGGTGCAAAGCATTTAAAGACTATTTTAAGATGGAAGATTGGAAATGGGACAAACATCAACATTTTAAATGATACATGGAAAGCAGATAAACCTTTTTGTGCATGGCCAACTTTTGTTAATATTAGCAAATTTGAGCATTTATATGTTGAAAAACTATTGTTTGAGGAAATAAATTTTAATTATAGTTTCAAGCAAGATTCTTTTGGGGAAGAATTGATCAATGTAATCAAAAAAATTCATTTCATTCCAAATCACTATGAAGACAAAATAGAGTTAATTCATCAACATTCAGGGAAGAAAATAACAGCTTTATCCTTTGAAGAAAAGTTCATTTTTTTTTGAAATCAATTACTTTAATTGGCTTAAGAAGATGAAGATGCTACCCATAATTCTTTTTTTTCTGGTGGAGACTTGGACGAAATGCTATTTCTACGAACAACTGGCTTAGTCATAGAAAATTGCTAAATTATGATCTTTATAACAGAGGTTGTCTACTTGAGGAAAATACTTTCATAGTGCTACTTCTTTCAAAAAGCTCATTAACGTTTTTGTTATTCTAAAGAAGTGGGAATTCAAATTCCTTTAATTCGATTTCTGAAATGTGGCATCATCTTCAATATTTGTTTAACAAAAATCTTGCTCTTGATAAAATTTATTGTTCGTCTATTTTTTTATTGTTGGAAAGATATGAATTCTATCAAGCATGGAAAATTCTTATCTTCCTCTATGTTTATTTCAACTGAGATTTTATCTGTTTCAATAAAGTCATATCTAAATCCTATTTTGGATAACTGGGGTGCTAATCGGTTCAATGAATTGAATTTTAAATTTTGGCATCCTCCACCTCCAAAATGGATTTAAGTTAATATTGATGCAACATTACTTAGTTCTAATTGTGCAGGAATGAGTGGACTAATAAGGGATGATAAAGAAAGATTTATATCAGCTTTTGGTAAGCAATTATATCATTGGGATGTAACTCAACTTGAAATCATTTCTATCCTTTCTTTGAAGGATATCTTGAAGAATGGATGATTGAAGCTGAAGGCATTTGAATTGAAGGGGATAATGCCAATGTGATCAAGCTTTTTCATAAATGGTTAGCTTCTCAATTTCAGAGAGCTGCATGTTCTATTTTTTATTTATCTTTTTTATATGATTTTGAGCGCATTATTTTTAATTGTATTTCAAGAGAGGAGAATAAAGTTGCCTATGGTTATGCAATCTATTTATTAAATTGTAGTTTCCTTTGGGATTTTTTTCAGAATAATATTCCTTCCGTTTTTAGTTCCATATTGAAGAAAGTATGTGATAGATTAGCTATCATATGGTTATAATTTTAAATAAGGTTGCTACTTGCATTTGTTATATATATATATATATATATATATATCAACCCGAACTCGACCCATTTTTCAAACTGGTCGAACTCGGGAACCCGACCCGTTTTGAAATCAGGTCAGGTCAAACCCAAAATTTTCGGGTCAAATTCGAGTCGGATTTTCATGTCGTGTCAAATATTGACACATCTAGTCAAATTAATAAATTCAATTTGTTTGCAAACAAGTAGGTTTTGACACTATCATAAAATTATTTAGGCTTCGTTCAGGGCAGCTTTCTTAAGGTTTTCAATATCAACTTTCTAGTCGGCTCCGCTGCAGAATCAAAGGTCAATAACCAAAAGGTGAAGGAGGGCAGCTTTCTCTTAGGCTCACCGACATTCGTGATCTCGGTAATGGTCGTTGGAGATGCGACGAGACGGGCCATGATCTCCCCGGCAATGAAAAGGAATCCTACTCCCATACCAAGGCCTGCCGCGTCGCCCTAATCGACGCTGCCCTCGCCAAGAAGAAACCCATTCTAAATACCTTTCAACCACACCCCATCTCCAAGTATGGTCTTTCATCCTTTCTTCCTTTCTCTTTCGAGTTTGAATCTTCCGTCTTGTAATGAGAGTTTTTTTATGAGTTAGGTCGATGCTGGTTTGCAGTCTGACGGGGGATGTCATCAACAAATCAGAGCAGCATATATGGAAGCATATCAATGGGAGGCGGTTTCTTAAGAAACTAGGTATTTTTTCCTTTTTCACTGAGAATCTATTTCTTGATGGAATAAAGTAGTTTTACCGGATTCAAGTGCAGTATTATATGATTTAAAATGCTCGAAGTTTTGCAGCGCGGTTTTTTAGAAACATTATATATTAGCTATGGTCAAGTGCAGAGTATATTTTGTGTATATTCTTTCCAATAATTTTTGGAACAATACTTCTCACATCTTATTGTTTGGTAAGTCCGGTTTTAACCCTATTGATTAAATCTTTGATTTGTTAAATTCCGCCCTTCATTGGATTTAATGCATTCGAATTTCTCCTCTTGCAAATCTTAAATCCAAGAACAAATAACCAATATCTTATTAGGATTTAACAAGATTTAACAATTGTCATGCGAAACAATTTTGATGGTTTAATCCTCTCAAGGTTTACTAAATCCTACTTATAGCCAAACAACCCCATAAAACATACACATTTTAAAACCTAAATCTTTATACTGTAAGATACATGCACCATAACCTCAAAGTCAACAAATGTTCAATACACATGCTTATCTTTCATGTTAGATATAAGAGAAGCTCAATATGCAAGGAGGTAATGGGCTTATATCATATTTTCCAAGATATTAACTTTAGAGATGGTGCTGAAAATATGTTGACTTAAGTAGATAAAAAGAACAATTTTTTTAACAAAAGGAATAAGGGTTCTGCGGTGATGCCTTCATTGGGTGATAATATTAATTCAGATTTTTATCAAAATAAGCCTGAGTTGAAGGGGTCTCATAATCCTGAATTGGTTCAAACTTCTGGACGGAAGGATGATGTAACTAATATATCTTGTGTAGATGTTAAATTTCCTACTATGGGTGATATACCCCCTAAAGTCCGTAAGCAGGGTGATACCATTTATTTAGCCAAATATGATGCTCATAAAGCTCAGTTAGAAGTAGCTGTTGTGCTGCCAGCATTGGTTTCTTTCAATTATTCTAAATTCATACATTCGGGTGATGGTTTGATGGAAGCTTCATTGTTGCTAGTTTCTTCATCTTATGTTGTTGATGTAGAAGATCAGAATTTTCATGGTATACAGCTGTAGGGATGCCTTTGTATGGACTGATACAGGAGGACAAGGAGGTTATTATTAGAGAATTCTCTGCTGTTTCGACAAATGTTCAAGACATTTAAGATGGTTCTTTAAGGGATTTTGACAGAGTTACATCGGTGGTGAATGGAACCATTGCAGCTAAGAAGTCGATGTTCAGCCAAGTGGTTGTTGAGTTGGATGGGGGTGTAAAAATTATTACCAAGGAAAGGAAATCAGCTATTGTTGAGGTTTGTCGGATGGCTAAGAATTTTTAAGATTCTTATGCTAATTATAATGGAAGCAATGATTGCAAATCTTTGGGTTCACAATACAAGGTTGAATAAAGAACTAAAACAATTGGGACCTCTTGAATCCACTGCTAGGAAGAGGAGAATTGATCTAGGTGGTAAATTGTCAGAGTGGGAAGCTTCCCATTTAGTTATGTAATGGATTCTATACATT